AGAGAGAGAGAGAGAGAGGAGAGCGAGGCGGCGAGAAGAAGAGAGAGAGAGAGAGATAGAGATGTGCATGAGACTGAGACCCAGCATGAGATCGGATAGCGGGCAGGAGGAGGGTGAGATTCGAAAACGCTGAGGTCGGCTCCAGCTCCCCGCTGTTGCGCACTTTGAGGCCCTTCATCTCAGCCAGCTTCAAGGGGATGCTCTTCAGGAAGCCGGCTAGCCTGGGTTACTATATAGGTCAAAATGACAGCTCGATCCACAGAACACACAGACTCTAGCATTAACGGAACATCCCACCAGGTTGCTTCGTAGCACATGCTTTCATGTCCTTGTAGGCCTGCTGCTCGGGTGTCAAGGGCTTTTTGGCTTTCCTGGGCAAAGGAGCACACGCCCGAAAGGTTGTTTTGGAAGCTTCAGAAACCCTGCTGTCGTGCGGCTAGGTTTAGCAATTCTCCTCTTAGGATTTATAAAAGCCCACACGTACCCGATATAGCCTCCGAGATAGCCTCCCTTATAGTGCTCAAAGGGGGGTATTCTGTATATTACAATTGACCACCAGCATACTAATCGACCAATGAACTCGGCAAAGGCTCTTGCCGCTGATCCTTCCCGTCTTCACATCCAAGAAACCCGTATTCTCAAGGTTGTTAGCAAACTCCCCAAGCTGCTTCGCCAGCAGCTTCTTTGCGTTGGCTTCATTCACACGGCCACCGAGCTTCATCTCAGTAGTTGGGGCATTGTATGCATATTTCGAACTAGCTGATGAACTCACAAGATTGGAAATGGGCAAACCTTTCATTGTGCATGTATGTCGGTAGATCTATATTCTATATTATTATCGACCGATCTACATATCTATGTATCTATCTGTCTATCTACATAGGAAACCCAGAATAGTTCGCGCCCAAGCACACTGCTGGTTCCCTCAGTTCCCTGGGACTTGTCCTCGACCACCTCCTTCAGCACCTTATACATTTTGGCCTTCCAAAAGGTTGCATCCGGAGCCTGAACAACAGCTCACATCAAGCACACCCGGTAAATCAGATATGCAATGCTTGCATCATAGGACGTCCGATTGCCTGTGGATGCGGTGTTCCAGCCTGTCCTCGGCGGGAGGCTGGTGAAGGGGTGCTGACATTGTAGGGACTCTGGAGTTTGCAGATGTCATGGATTGCTGACAAAGTTCCTTTGATCAGTGTCTTGATGAATTCCTCCGCCTCTGGGGTGGTGCCATAGATTTTCTCCAATTGAAACACTGTTACCTGCAGCGGTCAGTGGTGTGACATGCATGTGGTCGTACAGTGGGCGGATAGCCAGCTAGCACCTGAGACTCCAGCCGTCACATAGCGATCAGTCCGGAGATCCCGGACCCATGATTCATATTTTTCCTCCACATCTATCGCTGCCACGGATTGGTTGCACATAAAGACCTTGAGCATCCCGAACCTGCGAGGCAGCAGTGGCTTCAGACGAGTCACGGCCTGGAGGCCTCTGAGTGTGTCTGGACACACTGCAACATGACAACAGTATGCACCTGTCAGAGTCGCTGCAGAGTGAGAACTTCGCTGTCAGAGCCGGGTTCGCATTCTTGAGGATCGCCCGACGAAGGGCAGCATACTGTCGCTTTCGTTCTGCCCGGGGGATGTCCTACATTGGTAGTCTAACTGCCACAAAAAACACTTGCGTAGCCACTGTATAAAGCAGTCTCCTGTGGGCTCGTCATCTGGTTGATGCGGTCCTTGTCCTCTGCCGAAAGGTCGGTGGCTCGCTTGGTCTTCTGGGGCTCATCCTGATGAAGGCATCGGCTGGGAAGTGCATTGTGAAGCTTTGAATATTAACTAAAGCATGCAACTTAGAAAACACACCAACATGTATACATACACAGACATGCATTCACACTTACATGCAATAAGGAAAACCTGG